TGTGAGTATTCCTTAAATAGGAAAACGTAACAGTAGCATCGTTGCTGGCAGGGGTACAAGGTACTGTGCAGCTGTCTCATAATACGCATAGCGGGCAGTTCTATTCCTCCTGGAGACGTTGTGCTTTTGTGGGGTGTTTCTTTTCTTTTCTTTTGCCTGGTGGGGGTCTGCCTGGTGTAGCTTTGGGACCACTTGTATTATTTGAGTGGCCCTAAGCTAAGTCCCTGTGATTGCACACATTGCAGGGGTTCAGCATTTTGTTTGTTAGGTAGTTTTGGGATAACCGGTTAACAGTACCTTGCCTGGGCTTCCCTTAGCAATCAGCCTAAGGGCCCTGGAAACCCCCATTGGGGCTCATTGGTCCAATGGATGCATCCTCTGAGTCCCATCTCGCTTCGTGTGATTTTGAAGGTTGCTTTGTCTTGTCTCAGGGTGACACTCACTGTTTTTGCCTCTGCCATGCTGCCTGTTGGGTCAATGACATCTTTGATCCGGAGTTCTGCGAGTGGTGTTCCTTGCTTATACTCCAGTTCACCCAGTCCACTGCTATTGACATTCGGGTGCAGGCAGCGTCAGCATTGCATACGAAGTTTAGGTTGCTGCAGCCTAACCTGCTTTAGATTACGCACTAGGTTGGTTGCCTTTCCGGATACCCTGAGGCTGCCCCACTTTGGTTATAGGGACCCGGACTTGGAGGGGCTTTAGTTGCCTCAACTTTGGTTTTGTACACGCCCCCCTGATCCTTCCTTTATTGTTGTTTATCCTGCTCCTCCCCCCCCCCCCCCCTCCTGCTCCCGGCTCCCAAACGTCTGAGGGTTTCGGAGTCGGGGCAGGGCTTTCTTGGTGTTGAGACTAGGGCGGCTTCAGGGACTGCACCTTCTAGATCGGCGGCAGAGGCATTTGAGCCTGTTCCTCCTGCTGGGGCTTCCGGGTCGTGCCAGAGGACCCCCTTCTTTCTTGCTTTTCCGGTGGACTCTGCCTTTTCTCCAGAGGCAGGTGGTTTGGAGGACAGCTTTGCCCTGGGTCCTGACATGGAGAATTCCCTGGCTGGGGATGAGTTGACTTGGAGGGCTTGGGCCCCGTTTGACCCTGCTTAGGTGTTGGTACCCTCGGTGCGGCGCTTATTGTTACAGGGGAAGGGGTTTTCCTATTTCTCCTTCCCGTATGAGTTTGATGTGAGTTCGCCTCCTCCCCGGGTTCGGTTCTGGGTTTCCTTAGGTTCCTCAGTTCCCTCTTTCCGGAGGTTTTGGCTTCCTGCCTAGGGAGGTGCGAGAGGCTATTGCAGCTTACCTTCTGCGAGACCTAGATTACGCCTCAATAATGGATCCTTTTGAGTTTGACTCCTCTTTTCCTTACTGGGTGTGTTACGAGGTGCCAGAGTCTTCCTGGCTGGCAGACTGCCCTTTCTTTTTGTTGGGGGCGTGACATGCATTCTGTTGGACTCGCACGCTTGAGTGGCGGGAGTTGACTATGGTCGTTCAGGTTTACCTGGGGGGGGGGGTGAGTTGTAGCACCTCAATGCGTGGTTGTTCGCCCCTGTGCTTCCTCACGATGTTGCCCAGGTGAGGTGAACCTTCACGTGAAGGTTCCCTCCTTTTCGGCATGGCTGAGGATTTGCGCGCCCGTGGGCATTTGGCTTCGTTCTTGCGCTTCTTTTCCCTGCTGGAGCTGTCTTCGGACTGGCTCGAGGAAGATGTGGAGGAGCTGGGTTTTGAGCCAGCATCCGGTATGCTTGCCTTGGTGACTTGGGCGTTGGCTGCCTTGTTGAAGCTGTTTGCGCCAATTCTGAAGGAAGCGGTGTCTCTGTTCTTTGCTTCTCACCTCGCATGCTGACAGACAGTGCTTGTTCACACTTTGGAATCTGCTTGGGCCCTGGCTTTTAGATTTCCATCCCTTTTTTTGTCCATATTTGTTTGCAGAGTTTGCGATGGTGCATTTTCTGCAGGCAGCTTCGTCTAGTTGCCAGCCTATGTTGGACTTGTTGGTCGTCTGGGGAGACCGTGGGGATCCTGCCCGGAAGGGTCATGCCAGGGCTCGAGTTCCTTTGGTCGTCGTAAGACAGTAATGCCAGATTCGGGGCTGGCCTCTCCTGCGGAGCTATCGGCATCTGGTCAGCGCAGTGATTGCTCTGAGCAACCGTCAGGTTCTCGTAAGGTCTCGGCCCTTTTGGAGTTCACCCCGTTGACGGGATGATGGGGGCGGAGGCACGTGCTGTTTGCTCTTGCCTGGTCCCACGATTCGTGGGCATTTCAGGTCGTTTCCTCCAGGCTGTGATGGTGTTGGGTGGCTCCTCCTCCTTCGGGTTTGGGGCTGGCGGGGTAGGTCTCTTTCCCTGTGCTCTGTTGGGTCATTCTGGAGTGGGTATGCTTGGGCGTGGTTGAAACGATGGCGTCCCTCAGGTGTGTTTCCCACTTGTTTCAAGTTCCGAAACAGAACTGTGCGGATCTGATGTCCATTCTGGACTTGTCTTATCTGAACTTGTCCCATCTGACCCCCTGGAACCCCTCCTTTCAGATGACCACACTGTCCCAGGTCCAGCTGCATTTGGAGCCAGGCACTTGGATGGTGTCCCTCGACCTCCTGGACACATATTGGCCGTCCCGATTTATCTGGGGTTCAGGGACTGGCTCAGTTTTTTCATGGGGGTGACATGCTTACTGCTTTCGTTGTCTTCCATTCAGCTTGAATCTGGCGCCTCGCATTTTTACACGCCTCACCCGGGTTGCGATGATCTGTTTGCGTCTGTTAGGGGGTTTGGGTTCTGGCTCACCTCGATGACTGAATGGTTTGCGTGTCTGTTCGTCAGGGATTTGGTTCTTTCCCAGCTCGCCGAGTTTGGGTTCTTGGTGAACTGGAGGAAGTTATATTTAGTTACCTCTCAGGTTCAGACTTGGCTGGGTCTTGTGTGGGACTCGTGTGGGGTTTGGCTCTCGTGGTAGTTCATATCAAGAGGGTGTCCAACGCCCTGTCCCATTTCATTCCCCTGTCCACAGAATGGACGGTTGACAACGACTTATTCCTTTGGCTCTGCCGGAGGTTCGGGCGCCCGGAGCTTGACCTCTTCGCGTCTGTCTGGTCGAGTCGTCTTCCGATATATGTAGCACCCTTCCCCGACTGTGAGGCCGTCGTGGTTGATGTCTTTCGGCTGAACTGGTTGAGGTGGGGTTACCTGTACCTCTTCCCAGTTCGGTTGTTGCTCCAGGTCCTAGCTCGCTTGAAGATTTATCAGGGGAGAGTAGTGCTGTTGGCCCCTTGGTTGCCAGCCCAGTCTTTGTTTCAGGTGCTGCTTGCTCGGTGTCTGAACCTGAGGGTCTTTCTGTGGCTCTGCATCTTTCAACTGATGTGTCCGGTCCAGTACATGGCTGGTTTTATCTTCTCCTCCACTCTTCATGTCTGGTCATTTTGACACAGGTTTATCACCACTTGTATGGAGATCAGGTGGCTTCGTTGATGGTGTCCCACCTGCGAGTTTCATTTTGGCAGCAGTATGAAGTTTCCTGGCGGTCCTTTCAGCACTTTTTGTCTTCATTGGTTGTCTTCAATTTCTAATCAGGTTGTTTTGTTGTCTCTTGGTTGTTTCAGGACCATCATCTTATACCAAATACTGTAGCCTCGTATCGTGCGGTGCTGATGGAGCCGCTATAGCTTGCATTTGGGGTGGATGTCATTTCTGCTCCATTCTGCAAGCTTTCTAGTGCGTTGTTTCATCTCCGACCTGCTCATACGCCGCTTGAGCCGTACTGGTCGTTGGACCGGGTGCTCTCTTTTCTCTCTCCTCCTCGGCTTGTAGTGGCCCCTTCGGTTCAAGACTGTTTTTCTAAAGCTCTTTTCTCGTTGGCATTGGCCTCTGGGAAGTCTGGTCGGTTGGTTGGGCCGGGGGTGCATCATATGTTGTGTCCGATTGCGGCTCTTCGCCGTTACCTGCGTCCCACAGCCTCGGTGGTCAGGGATGCGCTTCGAGTTGACTCGGTTTCCCTTCTTCCCTGTTCTAGGGTTTGCATCTCCAAGGTCGTCTGCAGCGTTATTTGTTCCAGCAAGACTGTGGTCTATTCTCGTGCCCACGACGTTCATAAGTTTGCTGCGTTGGCTGCCGTCTTTGGTAATATGTCCTGGGCTGACATTCGGGCACAGGATTTTTGGAGATCAAACAGGGTCCTGGCTGCTTGCTACCTAGTCAATGTTCCTGACCCAAGTCGGGCATGTGTCGCATTGGGTCGGTGGTTGCAGCCAGTTGTCTTGACTTCGAGTTGAGGAGCAACTGGCGACTGCCTCCCAGGTAAATCCCTCTTGTTTTTATCTTTAGTTAAGTGGCTCTGGGGAGCCGAAGGGACTCCCCCAGAAAACCACTGTTAAATGTAATGAAACGTCATTTTTTGGGGTCAGCGGTTTTTAACATCCAGCCTCTAAACTGGAGGTAGAGCCAGAGTGAGGGGTCTGAAGCTCCCCCCTTTCCCCTCCCGGGGAGGGGGGAGCTGTGCAGACAGCGGCACGGTGACGATTTTGACGTTATGCTCGTTTACTCGGTTTTAGTTTGGGAAGTTCTGCTTAACAGTTCAGCTTTCAGTAGCAATTTTCTTAACCAGATAGGGTTGTTTTGGAGCGCCTACTTTTCTGGGTGCCTGACCCAATCGATGGCAAACCTAGAATGCTTCCAACCACATGGGGGTTTCTATAGGCCATTGCTCCTCATGCCTCTCTGAGGGGGGGCCAGGTTCTGGTTCTTGGTCCCCGGTAGGCAGAACTCCATTCGCTTTGACTGATGCCACGGTCTAATACATTTATATCGGCCCAAATAGCTCCAGGGAGCCTCCGGGTCTCACCCAGAAAATGGCGTTTCATTACATTTAACTTTTTTAAATTGAAGTACAATACTTCTGGGTAATACAGTACAGTATGGGTAAATTATTATTAACTACAATTTAGTGCTGGAGTGCTTTTTGCAGTTGCTGTAAATAAATTTAAATTTTACAACTACCTGTAATGTACTTGCTTTTTTTCAGAATATGAAAATGGAACCAGCCATTTGCTACATCTGCCATGATAAACGCCGAATTGCAGACACTGATACATCAGAGACAAGGATTGGCAACAATCCTGATGCAGAAACTCTCAAAGAAATTTTGCTTAGGGCTCTTACCTTAGGCTATGTAGAAGATAGTGCCAATGAACACAATCAGTCAAAATTCAGCAGTGGAGTATGCATCGTTTCTTTAAGTTCTCGATATGATGGTGGACTTGAGGCTGCAAGTGAAAAAGTTTTATGTGATAGTGTCATTATATGTAGAAGGTGTGAGTCACTTTTGAGAGATTTTGAATATCATGAAAGAACTTCAGCCAAAATAGCTGAGAAAATTAGAAGATTTTTAACAAGACAGGAAATAAGTGATAAAGAGGAACTAAACAAAACTCCAAAGGTTGAACAAACTGCTTTTAGGACATCAGTTGTAAACAATTTAGATGAGAGACAGGGTATACTGGCAGCCTTCAGAGCCTTAAGAAACTCTGGTGTGACAGGAGTACAGAAAAAGGTAAGGAAACCAAAGAAAGATATTGTTCCTACCTTAGTAACAAATGAAGGTGAAGAGGATGAAGTTGCTCAAAATATAGAGAAGGCTTTTGCAAAAGAAATAATAAATGAGAAAAAGAGATTGCAAAATATGGCATCATCCAGGTCTAGCAAGAGAATTCAAAGACGACGAGAAGATGGTTTAGTTATTAAATGGGGAGAGGCTGTGCCCGAAATGGAAAATACTTCTTTCGAACCAAACCTAGAAGCTGATGATATTTTTGAAGACTATGGTGAAAAGTGGTCAAAACATGAATCGCAACCACGGAAAAAGAGAGGTAGAAAACCGGGTCGGCATCAAATGTTAAGGTTTGCCAAACGTGTTGACAATGATTTAAGTCATCAGTCACAGGATCGATCGGGTTTGAAATATCAGTGTCCATTTTGCCACAGGTATTATATTCCCTCCAACTCTCGAATACATAACTGTACATCATACAAAAACCAGCTGAGGTGTCCTCTCTGTAATATATTCTTCACTTCGTATGTTAGACTTGAAAAGCATCTTGAAGTGATACACTTGAAACAGAAACAGCTTGAATGCCCAGAGGAAAATTGTTTGTTTGTGTGTGTTTCAGAACCTGCTTTTGTGTTACATAAGCATTTTCATTTTCTTGCGGCCCATGAAATTGACAGTAATGACGAAGTGGCATATGTAGGTGGTAGCATGACTGAATCAGACACAGAACACCCTAAGGTTGCAGATGCACACGACCAGAAAGCTGGTGAAGTCACAATAATGGATGATATTCAGGGTATTGTTACATCCCCTGATATTGCTGACCAAGTATCATTTTTGCTTGATGAAAAAAGTTTTCTCACTAATGGTCAACCAATTAACATAACTACTGATCAGAAAGGTACGAGAGACATAAATCAGAAAAGCACATTGCAGGCTGAGAGCAGCATAAAAGAAGAAGGAAGAACAAAAAAACGTGAAATGAAAATATTTCAACAAGAAACTACCCCAGTCAAGTCAGAATCAGCATATAAGCTAGTAAAGAAAGAGTTTCTGTGCCCTTTTTGTGATATGAAGTTTGAATACCAAAAAACTTTTCAGGACCATGTAATAGAAATCCATAAATTACTTGTTAAAGGAAGAGCCGATGCAGGTATTGGCGGAAGCAAGAAGGAAAGTGCAAGAGAATCGGCAATTAATAAAGTATGCAAAGTTAATGAAAATCTAAAAAAAAACTTCAACATAACACCAGAGGATCTGACATACACAGTAGAAAGGCTCAAGGAAAAATTAAGCAAGTCTTAGATACATGTGATTCAGTCGAGAAATCAGACGGTTATATATATAAAAACATGAATAACTCGGTGTGTTTATGGGATGTAATGCATTTTGAACATGAGGAAGCAAATAACGAGAGCAGTGAGGTAGAAGAGAATGGGGACTTACTGAAGAGGAGTAAACGAAATACAAAAAGACTTTACAAATGCATGAAATGCTCTAAGGTATTTCCTTCTAAGTCTCATTTAAAAGAACATGAAATCAGTCATTCTGATAGGCAACCATACAGGTGCATTGTCTGTGATAAAGGTTTTAAAAGAAAGAATGCTTTAAGCAAACACATGCGTGTCTTTCACCCAGATGGCCCAGACACTGTTCGTTGTTCTTGTGGTAGGGTATATGCTTCTCAAGAATTGATGGAAAAACACCAAGCATGTAGTGGAAGTCACAGACTGTTAGTGTGTCCAGAGTGCGGAGCATTATACAAAACTGATGCAAGTCTTAAAAGTCACATGATACTTCATAAAGAAAGTGAAGGCAATGGCCTCAATTCTTCTTGGCCATTTACATGCCATGCTTGTGGTAAAAAATTTAGTAGCCAAGCATCCCTGAACAACCACACTGCAAACTCCCATAGTACCTATAATTTTCAGTGCCAACAGTGCGATAAAATATGCAAAACTAAGAAGTTACTTTCTCAGCATTGTTTAAGAAAGCATAAAATTGGTAGCATTGAGTTTCCTTGCCCAGTGTGTAATAAAGTATTCTGTATATCAAAAGATCTAGGGCGTCACATGCAGTCTCATAACCCAGAAGGCATACATGAATGCTCTGTTTGCCATTCAAAGTTTAAAACTTACTCCACATTACAGTCTCACGTAAAAATACACTCAAAAGGTAAACCTTATGATTGTGTTTTATGTCTTCTTCCTTGCGATACAATTGAAAACTTGAAAGAACACATTTTTTCACATCACAATATTGAAATAGCTGGTAATGATTTTTCACAGCATTGGAATCGTAAATGTCTTATATGTGGTCAGATTTTCCTTCGTCGATCTGGTCTTGTATTACATATGAAGTCACACTTCAATTATGATAATACTGAGCTTGTATTTGTTGAAAACTGCAGTGATAACACAATTAGTGTCAATACTGATATGAAAAATGAACTATGCCAAGCACCTCATAAAGTATTTACAGGGTTAACTCAATTTAAGAATCATAATATATCGGAAGAAGATAGTTCTTTAATGGCAGCGCAAGTCAAAGAAAAGGAAATAGAGAATGCTAAAAGTAAAAATAAGGTACAAGCAAGACAAAGAAAGCAGAAGATGTGGGAGGAGAGAGCGACTTCTCACAGTAGTGCATTAATGGAATATTTTGCAAATGGTGACAAGAATATAATGAAAAACCTTGTGGAAACTAAAAACGTAAGTGTTGTTGGTGATGTGTGTGTACCTGAACATGGTACTATCACTAGGGAACAGACTGCAAATGCTGATCCTACCAATGATTCTCTTGCTGTTGAATATGAAACTTCTAGCGTGAATACAATTCCTGATATTGTGAAAGCTTCTACCTCAAATGAAGAAGAAACTAAGTATATTTGTGGAGAATGTGCATTTGTGTTCACAGATGTAAATGATCTCAAAACTCATTTATTGACATGTTACCAACAAGATACTAATGATGAATATGTTGTTGTATTTGAAGTTGATAAGCCATAAAAAATTCAGTTATAAAATTTCTTTTATACTATTTCCAAGACAATAAAACTCTTCCTTTTCTTATTTTCTTTTGTAAAAATCTTTGTGTAATGCATGAACAAGAAAAACACATAATTGCATGGACATATTATATTGCATACTAATTACAGCATGGTATTGTATTGTAAACATTACAATTTAATGTAATATATTATCACTTCCAAGTATTATTGTGGAAATGCAAGTGCCAGACTATATTATGGAAGCTACATGGTCAGATATATCTTGTAGTATTCCTTACAGTATTCTCTTTTGAATATCCTGCATAAAATACAACACTATTTTGAATTTAATTACTTTATCCTTTAATACATAATAATGCAAAAACTGTTTATAAGAGGAATGGTGACATTTCATTTACATAATAGTAATAATAATGATAATTTTATTTTTAAATATCCATAGGAATATGTTAGTGATTTAATTATTGGGGACATAAATTGTATATTATATAAAGCTACTGTACTAATACACAAAGCATTGCAAGTACAGTATAACTTAAAATTATTTACAAGCAGTGGTGCACTGCTGCCAGAGCTCGCCGGAGCGGTGATCCGGCACTTCTGCAAGTGGATGATGGAATGGGGGGAAAAGGGAGATGACGGCTTGTGGGTGATGGTTGAGCGTGGCAGAAAAATATTAGTACAGTATTACATCACTTAAGTTAATAATGTAGTGATTTTTTTGTTAAAAGATTCAATAATATTTAAATAATTATATACTGTATTTAAAAAGTAAACAGGCTGAATTGTACTGGTAGGAATCTGGAAACATAATATACGACGCACATATATTCATTATGGGGAACTTAGACATTTCTTTAAGGAATTTGACTGGAAAGACTTGCTGTTAGGACATGAAGTAAATGAGATGTATGTCAAGTTTTGTGAAATATATGATAAAGGCATCACAAAATTTATACCAAAGCAGAGATGCAGAACTAGGAAACAGAATTGGTTCAACAGAAATTGCGAGAGGGCCAGAGACCAAAAGACACAAAAATGGAATCAATATAGGAAGAGGCCAAAACCCCAAACAAACCAGCGATACAAAGATGTGAGAAACAACTACACGGCAGTGAGAAGAGAGGCAGAAAGAAATTTTGAAAAAGGGATAACGCACAAATGTAAAGCAGAACCAGGCCTATTCTGTAAATTCATAAACACAACATTGCAGGTAAAGAATAATATTCAGAGGTTGAAAATGGGAAACAGATTCACAGAAAATGAAAAGGAAATGTGTGAAACAGTAAATGAAAAGTTCCAAAGTGTGTTTGTACAAAATGAAATCTTCAGGGAACCAGACACACTAAGAATTCCATAGAACAACATACAACACATAGAGGTGTCTAGAGACGAAGTGGAAAAAATGCTCAAGGAGCTAAGTAAGAACAAAGCAGTTGGTCCAGATAGAGTATCACTATGGGTTCTGAGAGCACCTGAGCTCAGCATTCCACTTCAACTGATTTTTCGGGCATAGCTATGTACAGAAGTTGTAGCTGACGTGTGGAAAAAGGCTAACATAGTTCCAATCTACAAAAGTGGCAGCAGGGAAGACCCCCTCAATTATAGACCTGGGGCCAGATTCACGAAAGCACTTACGCGAATACTTACGAACGTGTACATCTTTCCTCAATCTTGGACGGCTTTGGTTACATTTATTAAACAGTTTACAAGCATGAAAACTTCCCATTCAACTGTTGTTATTGTTATAAACAGCCTCCTGGTGCTTCGGAGCTCATTAACTGTTTAATAATTGTAACCAAAGCCGCCAAAGATTGAGACAAGATGTAGACGTTCGTAAGTGCTTGCGTAAGTGCTTTCGTGAATCTGGCCCCTGTATCATTGACAAGTGTAATAGTCAAAATATTGGAGAAAATAATTAAAACTAAATTTTTTCAAATTCAAAATTCAAATTGAAATTGAAATGTTTATTCAGGTAAAGTACATACATACAAGGGGTGATACAAATATTGATGAATTTATGGATAGTGCTAGTACATACAATGCCTAAAGCCACTATCACGCAAAGCGTTTCGGGCAGGAAAAACACTAAAAGACTAAAACTTAATACTAATTGAGATTAGATGGGTAGAACACCTGGAGAAAAACTGTATAATATCAGACAGGCAGTATGGTTTTCAATCTGGAAGATCCTGTGTAACGAATTTACTCGGTTTTTATGATCGAGCCACAGAGATTTTACAGGAAAAAGATGGCTGGGTTGACTATCTATCTGGACCTAAAAAAGGCTTTTGACAGAGTTACACATAAAAGGGTGTTCTGGAAACTGGAACATATTGGAGGGGTGACAGGTAAGCTTCTAACATGAATGAAAAATTTTCTGACAGAAAAATGAGGGCAGTAATCAGAGGCAATGTATTGGACTGGAGAAATGTCACAAGTGGAGTACCACACGGTTCATTTCTTGCACCGGTAATGTTCATTGTCTACATAAACGATCTACCAGATGAAATACAGAATTATATGAACATGTTTGCTGATGATGCTAAGATAATAGGGAAGATAAGAAACTTGGATGATTGCCATACCCTTCAACAGTCTGTTCCCAGCCTCTGGGCAATGCAGACGTGCTGGTCAGGTGCTCTTCTCCATAGCAGCCAGGCCGCACCCTCTGACATTGAATATGATCTCTCAATAATGCTCACTCACTGCCCCGCCATAGCATCCCTCACACAATAAGCGAAGTGAATCTTGCCGACAGTGCCTTAATAGAGTTTCTTGGAAAAATGCGGAGCTTGTGTGTAAGGGTGGCAAAACTTTTAATTAGGATTAGTTAGTCTCAGAGCCAGCATTCCTAGGCAGCTCTGAGCCTATAGGTAGGAACAGAAGAGTGAGCACAATATATATATATAGGCCTTCCAGGAGCCTATCCTTATCTGTAGCACAGAACAGTTGTACAATTGACTGAAATCTGTAACACCCAAGCACACTGTGCTACATCAGCGTGTGTACTCACCTATTTGTGCTTGCAGGATCGAGCATTGACTCTTGGATCCTGCCTTTCCAGCTATCGATTGTTTACAGCAATGACTCTTGTCCCATTTCCCTATCATACCTAGTTTTAAAAGTATGAATAGTATTTGCTTCCACAACCTGTTCCCCAAGTGCATTCCATTTTTCCACTACTCTCACGCTAAAAGAAAACTTCCTAACATCTCTGTGACTCATCTGAGTTTCCAGTTTCCACCCATGTCCCCTCGTTCTGTTATTATTACTTGTGAACATTTCATCTATTTCCACTTTGTCAATTCCTCTGAGTATTTTATATGTCCCTCTCATATCTCCTCTCTCCCTTCTTTTCTCTAGTGTCGTAAGGTTCGGTTCCTGCAGACGCTCTTCATATCCCATCCCTCGTAACTCTGGGACAAGCCTCGTCGCAAACCTCTGGACCTTCTCCAGTTTCTTTGTGTTTCTTCAGGTGGGGGCTCCATGATGGCGCGGCATACTCTGAGACAGGTCTCACATAGGCAGTGTAAAGCGCCCTAAAAGCCTCCTCATTTAGATTTCTGAATGAAGTTCTAATTTTCGCCAGTGTAGAGTACGCTGCTGTCGTTATCCTATTTATATGTGCCTCAGGAGTTAGATTAGGTGTCACATCCACTCCCAGGTCTCTTTCTCGAATCGTTACAGGTAGGCTGTTCCCCTTCATTGTGTACTGTCCCTTTGGTCTCCTATCACTTGATCCCATTTCCATAACTTTACATTTACTGGTGTTAAACTCCAGTAGCCATTTCCCTGACCATTTCTGCAACCTGTTTACGTCCTCTTGGAGGATCCTACAATCCTCGTCTGTCACAACTCTTCTCATTAATTTTGCGTCATCTGCAAACATTGACATGTATGATTCCACTCCTGTAAACATATCAGGAGTACCAAGTGTAACATATCAGGAGTAACAAGTGGAGTACCTTGAGGTACTCCACTTGTTACTGTTCGCCAGTCCGACTTCTCGCCCCTTACCATTACCCTCTGGCTCCTTCCTGTTAGGTTGTTCTTCACCCATACTAGGGCCTTTCCGCTTATTCCTGCCTGCCTCTCAAGTTTGTATAGCAGTCTCATGTGCGGTACTGTATCAAAGGCCTTTTGGCAGTCAAGAAATATGCAGTCTGCCCAGCCTTCTCTATCCTGCCTTATCCTTGTTACTTTATCATAGAATTATAAAAGGTTTGTTAGGCATGATTTCCCTGTCCAGAACCCATGTTGGTGCTTGTTTACAAACCCAATGCTCTCCAGGTGCTCAACAAGTCTTAGCCTAATTATTCTTTCAAGTATTTTGCAGGGGATGCTTGTCAGTGATACAGGTCTGTAGTTAAGTGCCTCCTCCCTATCCCCTTTCTTGAAAATCGGTACAACATTTTTGCCTCCTTCCAGCAACTGGGCAATTCTCCCGACATAAGTGACTCATTAAAGATCATTGCCAGAGGCACGCTGAGAGCCTGCGCTGCCTCTTTAAGTATCCACGGTGATACTTTGTCTGGTCCAACAGCTTTATTTGCATCCAGTGTTGTCAACTGTTTCATTACCTCCTCTGCTGTCACCTCTATATCTGATACTCTTTCATCTAGGGTAATCGCTTCTAACAATGGGAGCTGCTCAGGCTCGATTGTGAACACTCCATGGAATTTTGCATTCAGTACCTCGCAGATTTCCTTGTCGCTTTCTGTATATGCCCCTTCTGTTTTCCTCAGTCTTGTCACTTGGTCATTTACCGACATCTTCCTTCTTATATGGCTATGTAGTAATTTAGGTTGCTTTTTCGCTTTGACTGCAATATCATTCTCATAATTTCTTTCCGACACTTGTCTTATGTTAATGTAATCATTCCTAGCTCTGTTACATCTAATCCTGTTGTCCTCTGTCCTTTGTCTTCTGTACTTCCTCCACTCCCTCCTGCTTCTCACCTTTGCTTCCTGACATTGTCTATTAAACCATGGGTTATTATATTCCCTCCTGCTTTTTTCCTTTATTGTTGGAATAAATCTCTCTTCAGCCTCCTTGCATTTCAATATGACTTGGTTCATCATACCTTGCACTGTTTTTCCTCTAAGTTCTTCCTCCCACTGCACTTCTCCCAGGTAGTCCCTTATCCTTCTGTAGTCCCCTTTTCTGTAATCAAGTCTCCTTTCCCGGACCTCTTGTCCTTTGGTCACAATTTTAAGCTCCATCATGTAGTCAAAGACTAGGACACAATGGTCACTAGCTCCTAGTGGTATTTCATGTTCCAACTGCTCGATGTCTTCTACATTCTGGGTGAAAAT